GCCAGGCAAAAGACAGGCATAGGAGTTGAACATTTACCTGGGATAGATACACTCCTTGGAGAGAACAATCATGGGAGAAAAAGGGCTGAGTATGCGCAGTGAGACAGTTCGGGGGGCATGGTTGCAAAGAGGGATGGACATATAGGGAAGAGGCGACTGTCGGGGGCAGGTGAGAGGGGAGCTGATGCACTGTGGTGAATTGTGGTCGGTATTGTGAGACGGGGTATGGGTGGGCTGCTGTATGGAAGGTGAATTTGCTCTGAATTTTCACCCAGATCACGGTGAAAAAAAAAAAAAATGAAGGAGCCATTCCCTAGAGAAGGATATCATGCTTGGTGAAGTGGAGGGTCAGCAAAGAAGAGGAAGGCCCTCAATGATATAGATTGACACAGTGGCTGTAATGATGGACTCAGGTATAGCAAGGATCATGAGGCTGGCCCAGGACCAGGCAGTGTTTTTTTTGTTCTGCTGTGCGTAGGGTCGCTATGAGTCAAAGCCGACTCAATGGCACCTAACAACAACAGTGGTGCACAGCAAAGAGTTTCAGGGAAAAGGAGCATAGCATATTTAAGAAAAGAGGAAGAAATGACATAACTTTGCTTGCAAAGTGTTTCACCCTTTTTCTGGTTTAATAGAGACAGCTTGTAAAAAACAGGATAAATAATTAGATGGGTAGGTTGTTTCTACTGTTGATAGAGTAAAATTTGGGACTCTAAGAAATAAAAACTACAAAGTATTCCTTTGATTTTGAGAGTGCTCTACTTTCTCTTTCTTGGCTCCTACCAAGCTTCTTCATAACATAGCTGGTTACTACAAGTAGCATCATAGTGAGAACAAAAAATCATGTGAAGAAAATTATCCCAGGAAAAATAATTATTTTGAAGTCAATTGACAAATATGGTATCAGTTCAAACTAGTGGGTCCAATATATGGGAACTCCAAATACATGTAGACTCCTGAGTTTGGGTTCTAGTGTCTTGCAGATGTCTAACAAAGTAGAAGTATAAGAAATCAAACAAAATATTTGCTTGTTTTTGTGTCAAGCCACATTACCTGCAATGCACACAGGAAAATGAGTCTGAGGAAGGACTGTTACAGGAAAGTAAAACACTCAACAAAATAGATCTGTTTCAATGAAAGGATAAACTGAAAACACTGAACTCTAGTGTGAAAATTTTAAAGCATGAAGATGGACATACCAGACTATTCTCACGACAGCCACAGTCAGAATGATAATGAGCGTGGTTCCCAGTTCTTGGAATTCTGGAACAAGCATTGACCCTTCATCGTTGAAGGAGGAGATAGTATTAGGACTAAATAAATAAATGGAAAAAATAAAGTTGTTCAGAATTCAAATGATAATAAACTGTGGTTTGCCATATGCGTATGTTGACTCTGAGAGGATTTAAGCCAGTATGGATTCTTTGTGCTAGATTATGAATGAAATTCAAGATGTTGAAATTCTCTTTCCAGCTTTTGGCCAACCTCCAGCCATCAAGAATTTATAGAATTCTTTGTCCCGTATATTCCCTATATCACATGTACCATTGAGCCTATAAAGTGAGATATTGTTTAGGGTCTCTCCACTCTTACGAACTTCAGAGCCCATCCTTTTACACATCTTTTAGTTAACTTTTTAGGATTAGTCCTAAGAGTATTCTTCTGCATAGAATTTTGCTAATTCCCAAAACATGTCAAAATTTATTTTATCACTTTAAAATATCCATTAATATTGTCATTTCTAAAAAACAGCCACTACCACTACTCCTGCTGCCACCAAAATAAGGTACTTCATAGTCATGTAACATTTTCTCCTTTTGTATTTTTAGTAACAAAGGCAGAGGTTCTTTGAGTGTTAAACCTTAGGCATCTGTATCTCACTGTTTAGAGACAAGAAACACACCAGGCTTGTTTTAAAGGGAAATTTTAATCTTAATGTTTAGAATTTTAAACATGGAAATTCACTGAGAAGGCTAGGATTTTGTTTAACTTTGTGTAAAATGGTGCCCACATTTTTTTTTTTTTAATTGTGATTTGGATGAAGATTTACAGAGCAAATTCACTTTCCATACAGCAGTTCACATACACTTGTCTCATGACATTGACCACAATTTACCACAATGCAACAGCTCCCCTCCCACTTCCGCCCGATATTTAAAGATGATGTCCACGTTTATATGCAACAGAGGAAGATGATGGTGAGGAGTGAGCAGTCTTCTGACTGCAGTGTTAGCATGGTGTTTTTCTAATATTTTTTTTAAGAGGTTGTTTTACATTCAATGTTACATGTACATTTAATTTCACTCTCCATTTACCATGCCCCACCCTAACCTAGTCTCCTCCCCTCCTTGCCTAGTAACATCTTTATGGATGTTAGTCACTTTTTGTTTGTTTGTTTATACTCAGGCTTCTCATGGAAGAGCTGGTGAATTTTATTGAAAGAGTGCCAAAGGCTCAGTCTGCCTCCTTGTGGAAGAATAAGGATATACAGCGGTGAGGACTATTCCTTTCTCTTCCTGCAACTAACTGTAGAGCCTTATTGTTTCCCAAAGTACTCATTTGTTTTCTTATTTTATGTTTAAAGAGGTATACTGTTATAACTGAAGTTTTTTTCCCCATTTTATGAAAGGGTTATATATGATTCACCTAATTTAGGGACGCAACTATGTATAGGTATAGGAGTTTTTAGAAATTAGTAAAGTGGCTTTATCTTTGAGGTGCTCAGAGTTTAAAAGAAAATCAGACAATGAAACAGGTAAATTACAGTCCCACATGGCATATATTATAAGAGATATCTCACTACAGTGGTGTAAGCATTTGGAGAAAGAATAATTTTCTCTGCCAAAGGGAAGCTCAGGAAGAATTCTTTAGGAAATGATAATTAAGCTGGGTTTTGGAGGAAAAAAATTACTTTTCCAGATTTAAAAAAAGAAGAAGAAGAAGAGTGGTCCAAGCACAGCATCATTGAACATAATGTCTTCAGGGAATAGTGAGAAGTTCAGTTTGGTTTAGGGTGGGTAGAGAGTGAAAAGATGAAACTAATGAGGTAAGTTGGAAGGAGATAATGAAAAATTTAATATGTGAAGTTTGGATTTTATATTCTAGAGAGTGGAAAATGGCTGGATCGTATTTATTGTGGAGAAGGCAACTCCCGAAGTAGTACAAAGGATCAATGGGAATGCAGAGACAAGGGGACAGTAAAACAGGCTGTGGGTCTGTTTCAGAAGCCCAGGGGAGATCAGAAAGGCCTGAGTTAAAGCATGAAGAGGAGAGGTCTAGTTAAAAAGTAATTTCTGAGGAAGAATTAAAAAGAATTGGTAAGAATTATTAAAAAAAAAAAAAAAAGCAAGGAAAGAAGTAATTAGGACAGTGAGAGGAGAACTGAGTATAGTAGTCTAGTAGCCAAGGGAATACAGGGTGGTCAGTGGTATCTGATGCTGTGGAAATATTAGGTAAGCTGGAGATAAGGCCCTTTGCTATAGAAATAAGGAGTTCATTAACAATCCCAGAGAGATTAGCTTCAGTAGAGTGCTAGGATCAGAAACCAGTTTGTAGAGGTAAAATAAATCAAATTATAAGCAGTTTGACTCCACTTCCATGGTAACTTAGAACATTAGTCATTCTTAATATCCAGGGATCTCTATAGCCCTAGCAACTGCTGCTTCCACCTCCCAACCAAAAACCAAACCCACTGCTGTCGAGTCGTATCCAACTTATGGCGACCCCTCCGGTATCACTATGGAAGTAGATTGCCCAACCTTCCTTCCAAGGAGTGGCTAGTGGGTTTGAACCACCAACCTTCTGGTTAGCAGTCAGATGCCTTGGGCACTACTCTACCAGAGCTCCCAGGCACTATAATAATCCCAGCCTTCAGGTTTGGGCACTGCAAGTCTGCATTAAAAACATCCTTTGACTTCTCAGGGAGTGTATGATCCATACACTCCTACCCAAGTCTAAGTTTTTCCAGCTATCTTGCAACTGACCGCTCTTTCCCACCAGATCAGTGATGTGTTAGCCATCTCTTTATCTAAAAACTAGAATGTCTTAGATTTTGTGAATCTTCATTTTACAAGAATATGTTTATGTAGCTAGGGGAATATGGTGTTTTTTTCTGCTGTGAATGTTTCAGAGTTATGAGGTGAGGGTATGAATCTCCTCTGTGTGCTTATTTGCAAATATTCCATTATTTTGTTTAATTTATGTGATACTCTGTGTGTGCCAGGTCCTATTCCAAATGTTTTATTCATGTAGTATATCTAATCCTTTAACAGTTCTTTAATGTTTCCATTTTACAGAAGAGAAAACAGGCAAAGAGAGTTGCCCAATTTGTAGTGGTGGGATCTTGCTTCTCTCATGTCTCTACACTCCCATCCATTCTCCATGCTATTTCCAGAGTTACTTTCTCCAAACCCAGACAACTTAATTAGTCCATGTCAGGCCCCCCTCTTGAGCACACACCTCTTCCAGCATGTGTGTGAGCTTCCTAGTCTGTGAGGGGAAGAGTATCTTTATCTGTGCACATTTTTTCCCGTGTTTTATGGGATCTTTTTTATGTTTCTGTTTTCTTGTTTGGGGATATGGTGTATATATGACTTCACATTAAGAAACATTTTATGGACATGCACATATGTGAGTCTTCTGTATGTGTGTGAATGGCATTCTTAATCCAACCTGCTCTGTCAGCTGTAGTACTTGATCCCTCCCCTCCTTATTTTGCATTCTCATTCTCTGCTCCCTTTTCTCTTAAGCATTGCTATGCCATCTTCCCACTTTTGTTTCTCTCTCTGTGCGCCCTTTGACCATACAGGACCCCAGATCTATGTATCTCTTTCCTTAGAAACCTTAGTACTTTGTTTTCTTTCCCCATAGAACACACGTGCTTTGGCTTCCTTTGCTTCCTCCTTTTATATCCCGTATAGTATTCTGCTACAAATAATTTTGGCACATCAGAAATGGTGTTCAAAGGTCATTATTTCCTGAATTCCAAACCCTGGACCAAGTCTCAGGAAGTCCCTAGTCCATATTTTGCCTTTTCTTCTGTGGCCTTGAGCAAAGTCCTTGGCAGTCTTCCTTTGCCTCCCATTCTTTGTACAATACAACAAAGTAACTAGCACAAAAAAGAAGTGTCATCATGTATTAGGGGAAAGAGTTATTAAAATTTGAAGAAGGAGAGGACTAGGGAAGGTGCCTAAAAGTTACTTCATAGGATGCTTAGGAAATCTCCTTTCAAAAAAAGGTACTAGATGAAATCTAGCCTTAAATTTGTGCTGTGGGCAAAAATCAGAAAGTGCCGAAAGCTAGCTTGGTAAAAGGGCAAGGAAAATTACTTGTAGAATAGGAAAAGACCATATTTCGTTCTGACCCTGGTCAAGTATTATGGTACAAGATGAGCCAGGGTTATTAATAGAGAAAGGGAAGACTTTAGTTATCGGAAAGCATACACTGAGATGTTGACAAGTTAAGAACGTTTGTGTTCTCTTTCTCTGCTAGATCAACTCAGCATAAATATTAGACATGGTAGAAGAATTTGAAGAGCTATTTATTCTATAACTGACATCAGATAAAAGAGTTCCTTTGAAATATTCACCTAGACTTTTAAGTTTGTGCCAGAATACAAAAACATGCTTAATTTGGACAATATTTGTGCTTAAAGATTTAAATTGCTTTTAAATTTCTCTGTCACGAGCCAGTTGATATCTCATATCTTAAGCATCGTGACATACTACACTGAGAAACACAGTTCTTTGCTAGCTAGATCATTGAAATTTTTCCTAAATGATATAGACTGTCTTTGCTTTAGTTGTCTTTTTTTCTAAATTCCTGCATTCTCCTTATCCATTTTCTCTAAAGTAGGGATCACAGGATCACAAGTTCAGATGTCTACAGGGGTGAGGCAGGTAACACAAAGGAGTGAAGTGAGTGGTGAGAACTGTGGACTGGTGAACCCAGCCCCCTCTAAAGGGACAGCTGACACACAGCTGCAGCGGACTGTGGCCATGTGGGAATGGGAGCCATCATTACCACAAATTTCCTTTTTTTTTTTTTTCTTTAAATATAAGCTCAAAATGTGTTTGTTTTAAATATGGCTTTTCATATGTGTGTGTGTTTAAATGTTAGCGCTCAGCTTAAAAAAAAAAAATCCTCTATGATTCTAGCAGAACACATTTATGAGCTGAATATGAAGCTTGAGCCCCAGTTTTTGGGTTGTGCTTAGACCTTGCACAGGCAATTTCAAAGTAGCTCTTGGTTAAGTGCCTAGAAATAATGAATCTTATTAGTTTAAGTTACTAATAAGACTATCAACTAAGAAAAACAATAAATTAAAATCTTTCAAACTCAATCTGACAAATTCTCCTAAATCATTTGAAGTTAGTTTGAATTAGCATTTGATTTAGTATTAGTATATATACCCCCCACAAAACTATTACTCTTGCTTTTTGGCAGCTCTGTGACTTCCTGCCTCAATTGACATTACTCCTTGAGATTTATTTAAAAGAGGTTAGCTATCCTTCTTCGTATTTTGACATTGCAGTTTACTCTTGATAAAGAGATGAATTTTGAAGGATAGGAAAAAGAGAATACCTTGCAATCATTTTTGAGTCTCTGACTTTCCCACACTTACTTCACAGTTTAGGCTTTTATGGTAAATTTAAAGCAAAATATTCCATGTAAGAGACTAACATAGCCAGTAGTATATTGTGTATAATGCTTTTTTTTTTTTTTTTTTCTAGTATAAGATTAGAAAGCTACAGTTACAATTAAGGATAAATCATTAAAGGATAATGTGATAAGCCTCTCACAAGAATTAAGGAAATATACATATAGTATATTCCTGGGTGGGTTGCTGTAGCAATTTTAGCACTCAGAGCTTAAAATGTGGGTACATAACCTTCTAGAAGATTCAGAAGAATAAACAAGCATATTGTAGTTGAGATTCCTCTGCTCTGACACTCTTTGAAAAGAGGAATTTGTCAAGGTCAGCTTTATACTAGGAAGAAAATTAATCAGTATGGACTTAGAGGTTCAACAAGACAGAAAATAACAAATGCTGGCGAGGATGTGGAGAGATTGGAACTCTCGTATACTGCTGATGGAACAGTAAAATGATACAGCCACTGTGGAAATCGGTATAGGGATTCTTTAAAAAGTTGGAAATAGAAATACCATTGGATCCAGGAATCCCTTTACTAGGTATATACCCTAAGGAAGTGAGAGGCAGGACATGAATAGATATATGCACACTCATGTTCATTGCAGCACTGTTCATGATAGCAAAGAGATGGAAACAACCTAAGTCCCGTTCAGCCAAGGAATGGATAAACAAACTGTGGTACACACAATGGAATACTGTTCAATCCTAAAGAATAGTGTAGAGTCTGCATAACACCACAGAACATGGATGAACTTGGAGGACATTATACTGAGTGAAATGTCAGTCACAAAAGGACAAATATTGTATTAGTCCACTATTATAAAAAGTCAAGGAAAGGTTT